TGTACTCAAACCAATTGGTCACCAGGTCACTTGATCCATAGCCTTTAAAAAGAGGTTATGAAGGGAGTAGCACCATTTAGGGGTCTTATCAGTGATTATTTAGATGCAATTAGTTGCAATCATTTAACAAAATATACATTTCTTGCTTGTGAAACATGAGATCTGTTGGCTTTTCTGTCTACATGATAGAAAATGTTCGTGCAAATGAAATAAAGTGTAGATGACAGGCTGATTTTTCCCCCTATTTTTTGTCTTTTCATTCAAGATTGAGCCATTATCCATCCATTCCCTCTATTTATCCTCATTAGGCTTGCAGGGGACGGGGCTGGAGCCTATCCCAGCTACCACAGGGCAATACTGGACAGCTGTTACTCTCATGTCTGCCTCTGTGACGCAGAAAACATGAGCCATTAGGCGAGTTAGAAATATTAGAGATAACTTTGTGTCTGCTGTAGTGTACCTGTGAAAACTCATGTAATGGATGATGTGTGGAACATCAGGTATTACTGTCATACTGTAATTCACTGTGTTCGTTACAGATGAATTTGATAACTATGCCTGCTGTCTCAGAGACTTCCCATTTTCTGCATGATGATGGAGAGTCCTTATTTCTTCTACCAGCACTGTATGTGCTGTATGTGTTTATTTTTTGCTTTTATGAAGAATTATAATATTTTTGTGTGTTTCTTGTCTCTGATCATATTTTTACTTTGATTTTGGTGTTTCTTTTTCCATTTCCTCTTTTATTAGATTTCATTTATAAGCCTCTGGAGTGTTAAAGTCTCTCCTACACAACAACATTTGATCATTTAATGCACTGAACTAACTGAGCTCTCACTTTGCTGGGTAAATGTTTTGTCTACAGAATGCAATGGAAAACATAAAAAATAATGAAAACCTATTTCCAAAACACTGCTGTCAGATATTCTGGGGTTTTTTAATGAACAGTTTAATACAAATAATCAGTTAACAGCAATAAAAAGAGATGAACCAATGTCTGCTTCCTTTCAAACAGAGACAAAAAAATCACTTGCCAAAATTGCTTTAAACTCCTGAATTTATCAAGATCAAGTGAGTGCTTTGATCCAGTCTGCCTCACACTGTCCCCCAGTGGGTGCATTTGACCCCAGCAGTGAGAGCCCGCTCAGAGTTCGCCTCCCCACCTTACCAGGTAAATCAAAATCGATATTGGCAGCATAGCGGTGAGGTGGTTAGCACTGTGACTCTCTCAATGCATGTTAGCGTAACTAGTTATTTCTAAAGTGGCTCAAGTTTGAACAGAGACTGGAGCCTGTGCAGGAATGGCAAAACATGAGCGATATGTGATTTGTAAATGTGATCTGAAGTTAAATAAAGCAACAATATAACCACTTGCTCATAGAGGCAAACAAAGCTTGAGCACAGGGCCTGCAACGTGATAAGAAATTCCCATAAGTGGGGCAGGGTGATGGAATGAAGCAGAAACACAGGTTGCAGGTTATTCATTAACCACCAGTGTTTTAAAATGCTCTGTGTTGTCACCGAGTCTCTGTTTGTGCAAGCGTACTCCTGCATATGTATGTAGGTCATTTGATAAAAGCTGATCCATCATGCTCTACTCTACTAAATGGAAAGTAAACAAAAGTGAATTCAAAATAACAGCACAAGGACTCATATTTTCTCAGTTAACCTATATATGACGGCCAGACCACAGTGAAACTCCCGTTTCTGACAGTGTACCGAAGTTTAACTACACACTGAATCCCCCAGATATCTTTTAATAATTTAAAAAGTACAACTTCAACACACCAAGTTTCACTTTTTCGCTGCTGTAGTAAATGTAATAAATTTGTCCACATGACTCTCATAAAGTATAAGTAATAGGTCTGTAAAATACAGGAGAGATTGCACACTGATCAGAATGTCCTGTAATAAAAAAAAAAAAATTATGAGTTTTTTTTGTTTTGTTACTGTGGGCCCACTATGAAAACATCACACGCACCCACACACACGCATTTTCACTTTAGATAGTGAAAAACCAGAAATACATTTTCCAAAGCTTCAGTGGGCCAGATTCAATTCTAGCCCCGGTGCTCTATGTTTAACACCCCTTGCCTATGGGCTATGATTAATTGCTTGACCTATTTTACAAAACACAATTAGAAAACAATTCTAATAAAAACGGATCAAATTAATTTCAAGCGCGACGTCTTCACCGTGTTTTATTTCGCCAACAGTTCAAACCACGTTATTCCCTCTAAACGTTCACAGATAGACGTATAATCATATTTAATTAATCGTGTACAGACACTGCGTTTTTATGATACATTTCAGCTGCAATTATGCAAAATCTTCCTTCTTCTTCAATCTTTCCTTCTGAGAAGCTGGAATCGGCCGCTGGCGTCTTTGAACAGGATGAGTTAAAAGGTTGAATCACCTGATCAAGCAGCTATGGATCACCTCCACAGCGCGGTAACTAAAGGCTTTTATTTTGGCTCAAAGGGAGCGGAAATCATATCAGTTCATCTCTTTAGACTTGGTGGTCGGTGGGCGTTACTAAAGGCTCAGAAGTCCATCAACTAGACCACATAAACGTCGGCAGGAGGTGAGAGAAGAAAACGTGACAGCATGCCGGTAAACAAGCAGTCGGGCAGCAGGATGAGAGTGACAGAAGTGGAGGAGTTTGTGAGAAATCCACCGCCGGGTTTCTCTGTGGAGACTCTCGGATCGGGTTACCGAGTCCGCTGCAACGAGGAGAAGAGCCTGGTGCTCATCGACGACTTCCAGTCCTGCGGGAAGAAGATCGTTTTCCACAACTCGCTGGGAAGGTGAGAAAAGACAGAAATGCACACCCAAATGTATATTCATTTATTTATGCGTTCATATGCACAAGCAATGAATATGAAACTCTTTCTGATTTGCTTTTGGCCACAGAAAAGTGAAAATGCACAACTTGTGGGAATACAGCAGCACGAGGAAGAGTCTGCTGTCCAAGGAGATCTATCTGCTGATTTCAGCCTGCGAAGAACAATCCTCAGTGAGCAACAAAAAGGCAGCCAGAGAACTCAGCGGTAAGTGTTTCCCTACACACAAGCTGTCATCTAACAGTAATTACACACAGTACAAAGAGCTGACAGTGGTGAAAACAACTCCGTATGTTACAGCTGTGGGCTGCTCGCTGGCACAGCTGACTCATGCAGGCCTCCAGATTTGGGTGGAGTTCACATTACAGTGAAAGCCTGCTTCTTACACCATGTTTCTGCGCAAACTCTCTCCTTTTCTGACCTTTTTTACTCTTTCCTCATGAACTTTCCCAACTGCATTTCAGTGGAGAAGCAGTATGTGGTGTGCATCGACGGCAACGAGCCGTTCACCAAGTGGCAGCTGGAGAGAGGCATGGATGGGACCATCTCTTCTGTTGCTGGAGAAAGCTACAGAGTGGATGTGAGCAGGACTTCATGGTGCTTCTGTTGCACGAGCCTCTTTTATTCAGAATCACTATATGTTACCTTTCCCTTCATTTCAGATTGACCTGACTGAAGAAATGGAGAGCTGGGCAGCAAAAAACCTCATATCTGACGACCTCATGAAGGTCAAGCCCGTGTGGAGAGACGCCTCCTTCACCCTCAAATATTATTCTGATGCTCTGTTTGACTTTCCACACTGGCTTGGCTTCAGCAAAAGAATATTTAAGGTGCGTCTCTAATTGTTCTTATCAGATCTTAAACTAAATCCATGTTTTTGAGTCTCTTTAGGTTTTTGTCTAACTTTGCTTTTCTTGCATCTGTTCTTATTACAGTTGAGAATGACATGAGCCAGCTGAGGATGAAGAACGATGCAAACTTGAGTTTAACTGTTCACTTTAACCGGAGCTTGTTTTTGCATCTTCAGTAAAATAGATGAATGGTTGAAATATCATCCTGCCAGACCGACGGCTTTCCTCTGGAGATTTTAGGATCTGAGTCCAGAATTTCTGTCTGTTCAGTGGGTGGAAACTACTGACAAGGACTGAAAAAGACTTTCTGAATGTCATAAAGGTCGTTTTGTGTGTGCAAATATTTGTTTTTACATGATTTTTAATTGTTGTACTGTTTGAGGGGTTTTATAGTGATCAAATGTGTGCTGCTGCACAATAAAATGTTTACAGATTTTGTAATGTCAAATCAATATTTGTTTGTGAGAATTATTTCATTATTTTTCCAAAAAAATGCAATGAATCTATTAAACAGTGTTTTTTAATGCAACAGAGATCCAGGAGCTAAATTATTCATGTGGAAAGGTTACATGACACAAACTCATTTAAGGGATAAGCAGAAGAGCAGTTGCAGCGTTAGTGATGGTTTCCACATATTCTTTATAGTCGCTGCCGTAGAAGCGCACCAGCAGGTAGTTGGCAATGCCAATGACACACATCAGGGAAAGGAAGGTGATGACCCGTTTTCCAAACAGGTAACCTGGGGTGCTGTACAGATGTGAAAAATTAATGCGATACTGCTTCTAAACACATAGAATACATGCTACTGGGTCTGTAGGAATTTACCTTTGAGAGGTTTGTCCCAAGTATCCAACAAAGTACTTCTGCCTGACGACGAGATAGATGATCCCAGCGAAAGCAGCGGGAGCTTCAAACAGAGGACAGAAAAAGATTCTGTATCTGGTTTCATAATACGCTGTGGGTCTTATATGGTTTAGGTCTTTTTCCACTTAGTCAATCTCGACTCTGTGGCACAAACAGTAATATTTCAGCTAATAGTGTGCTTCATTCTTGTGACATCTGCACCCAAACAGAGCGTAGGCCCATTTTGCATTTTACTGGAGAGAGCTCATAAGTACAAAACACCCTGACCAACTCACACTGCACGCACTGTTTTTGAGGAAAAATCCAGTTATCCAATCCTATACTATTGAAGGTTGCGGATCGCCCCGTGCGAGGGGCTGCATGGCGCTAACGCGTTAACGATCGCGCTAACGCGTTGACGTTGTGCAGCGCTTGCACAGGGCGATCCGCAGTAACTTGCTAACGGAGATTTCCCGTGTTAATGCGGTTATGGCGTTAACGTCATTTTAACGAGATTAATGCTGACAGCACTAATGATAAGGTATTTTAGGTAAGGTCAGGCAATACAGAGAAACAGGCCAACAAGTAAAGAGAAAAGTTTCGTGGTCAGACGAGAGATAAAATAAGCTATTTGCTCGCAATGGCAAAAGGTCCAACATGGTGGTGGTAGCATCACGCTCTGAGGGTGTTTTGCCTCCAGCAGTACTGGTATATTTCACAAAGTGGATGGAATAATGAAAAAGAAGGATTACATCCAAATTCTTGACTGTCATCTTAAATCAGCAGCAAGACGGTTAAAACTTGTTGAAACACAGTTGTTGAAAAACTGTTACCGGTAGGTGTTTGAACAGGACAACGATAACAAACACACATCGAAACTGATTTCGATGTGTGTTTGCTAAATGGCTAACATTGAACAGGCTAACAGCCCTGACCTCAACCCTATACCCTAAGCCAGGACGGTGCCAGGAAATCAGCCAATTTAAATGCAATCTACCAATCCTTCCAACAAGACTTGTCAAATATCCAACCAGAGTTATTCCAGAAGGTTCTTGATGGCTACCAAAAGCATCTGGTTGAGGTCCAAATTACTAAGGGACATTTAGCTAAATTTTAGTGGGGTATATATTGGAGCTTGTATCTAAACTTTTGACCATGTGTGGATTACAAAGAATCCAAAATAAATTCAAACAAATCACTACACACAGAAAAAAGAACAGTTGAAAGAAATCATTAAAAGCTCCAAATTAGCATGACATTCATTCCCATGATGAGTTGATGTAAACTCTGGACCACAACTCTGGCTTGAACCACAGGTTGGTATTTTAAGCTCCCAGTCTGCTGACATGGGAATATATGGAGACTAACTTGCTGTTGAATCCAGCCTCAAGTAGCCACTAGAGGAACTGCATTTTATGTCAGCACTTGTGCTTGTGCTTTATTTTATTTTATCGGTTTGGCCTAAAGCTTATCCTTAAATTGTAGCAGCATGATCCACAGAAGGTTAATGTCAGTAAAGTCATGTGCACATCTGACTTTCTACCTTTGAAAAACAGCAGCGTTTCAGGCATATTGGATTGTGTTGTGTTGTATTGTACAAGGAGAGAACAAACACTTTTCTGAATGTTTGCTTTTGTTTCCTGTGTGGGTGTGCACTGTTTACAGCCTCCTTTACATTCATGAATGATTACCTTGACTGAGACACAGACCAGCACACCACATTACTGCCAAGAAAGTGGGGTAAGCATCCATGCAGTTGCGACTAGAGAAGAAGTTTAAACAAAAGCTGTTATTAGCACATTTCAAGGCAAGTGTGAAGAAACTATGAAGCAATGGCAGATTAGTTAAAGGCAGAAGAACTGGAACGCCTGAGTCCCAAAATCTAGCATTTTGTGAGGTTTTTGTTGTAATTGTTGTGGAAGACACTTTGAAATGATAGTTTCCAAATTACCAAGTACTTCACAAAGGTTGAAGCATAGTTTATTAAAAACAACAATTTGCTTTACTATTTTTCTGCTTCTTTGTAAAGGAATGAATTAGCATGTTGAAGATCAATCAAACAAACTTCTTGACATGTCATTGCAACTGTATAGATGGAACAGATATATGAGAGGTTGGCCTTAAATCAGGGGTGTCGAACTCCAGGCCTCGAGGTCCTGCAGGTTTTAGATCTCACCCTGGGTCAACACACCTGAATCAAATGATTAGTTCATTACCAGGCCTCTGAAGAACTTCAGGACATGTTGAGGAGGTAATTTATCCATTTAAATCAGCTGTGTTGGATCAAGGAAACATCTAAAACCTGCAGGGCATCGGCCCTCGAGGCCTGGAGTTCAACACATCATTGTTATTTCACCATCAAGTATTCAAATAAGGTCAGCGCCAGCCAGCTCTTTCCCCAACCGGGGAGGGTTCAAGCAAATGAGGACTGCCTCTGGATAGAGTTAACATTTGGTGGATTATGAGGCCGAATGGAAAGCCTATTAGGAAACAAATGTGATATTGTTTCAGTTCGCTGGTATTGATGTTGCAATAGAGAACTAATTGTTGAAGAAAGAGCACTCACTTGGCACAAGACACTCGCTCAAAAGCTGATGTGCGGGTATTATGGTTCTTGCATTCCCTCTCCACCTTCTGTGCGAAAAAAGCTTAAAAACAGAGAGTCAAGATTAAGCATTTGTGATGTGAGCGGTACATTTCCAGTCACTGGGTTAGAGTTTCTCACCATTCTGAAGCACGCTGACAAGAGTGACGATGACCAGGAGGTAGATGTTTTCCACCACTTTGTTGGAGTCCATGATTATCCTGTGAGCTTTAGGAGCAGGTGTTTGCTGGGCTGAAAGAGACAAAGATTGTCTTTCACATCCAAACAGGCGTATTTAAAGTCAGTAGCAAATCATAAACCTGATCTCTCCCTTCATGACATCATGTTGTCCCATCCCACATACACACTTGTTTGTGGCTTCCCCTTTATGTAAATGATGCTCTGGTTTAATACAGAGGGCTGCAAACAACTTTGCTGCTACTTCCTCTGTGTGCTTGTGTAAGACCGGATTGCATGTAAAGGCCTGGCTTGATGTTTTGCAAAATTATTTGCATCACTATTACGCTATGTGTCACCTCTCATTACTCCCAGTAATTACATACATGAGTAGTGTTATGAACAGACACTTAAAGTATTTCTGGCAATAAATAATCAAGACCATGCATGGAGAATGTGTCAACATATACAACACAGTGCAAAAGGTTTGATTTAACCCTCGTGTCTTTATATTTTGCCTCAAAAGAGACAGACTTTCTATTTTCTATATACATTTGTTGTTATTTGTATTATTTTAAAATAGTATATTTTGGTACTTTGTCATTTGTTCCAGTTTCTTTAGTTAAATGTATGAAACATGTCAAAGATGACACAGTTTGGCATACATAACATTTTATTTTTGTACCAAGAAGGTGACCAAGGAGCTGTTAGCTGAAAACTTAGCATTTTACAGCACAGTGTGCAAGTAGAGGACAAATTTACAACAGGTGAACACAGGGCCGGCCCGTGGCATAGGCCGTATAGGCAAATACTAAGGGCGCCGTCCATCAGGGGGCGCCACGCCAGTGCCACAAATGTTGAAAAAAAAAAATTGGGGGAAAAAATAATCCCACGTTAATTAAAATGCAAAGTAAAGCTTATTTAATAGAAATATTATTTGTTACAACATTACACTACACTGCTGATGTAGGGGGGCGCCACCTAAAATCTTGCCTAGGGCGCCAGATTGGTTAGGGCCATTTCTGGGTGAACAGTATGTGAAACTGTCAAAAAAAGAAGAAAAATCCACCTGACACAGCACCGAGAGATGCATTTAGCCCTTCACGATCCATTCACGACCCATTGTCTTCAATGAAGTTTCATCAGAAATGGTTTCAGTGGAAGGGAGGCTGTCAAGACATGGCAATAACAACACACAAGAGCTTTGAATGTCCTTCGGGTAGACTTCTGAGTTATTCCTGAAGGCTACTTTACGAAAGTTTGTCGAAAAGAGTTCAGGATGTGTTGAAGAATAAAGTTTGTTGGAATTGTACAAACTCTTTTTTTGCCTTATATATAGTAATTCCGAGTATGTTTGCAGATGTTTCAATTAATTGCCGACCTATTTTCTAGTTTCCTAGAAAAACGTCAATTACAGCATACTGTATAACACAACATGCATTTAAAAAGAAGGTACCCCCCAGAAACAATGTAATCATTTTTTATCCTACAAGAGTAAAAGTAGAGTAAAAATAGAGCTGGCTTATTCTTATTCTGATTTGACCCACTTACAGTCAAATAGCACCTGCGTGCGCCTTTCAAAGGAAATGCAACGTCCTCGCTGATTTTTTTAAATCTCTTTTCAAAACTTTATATTGAATGACTTTGATGCATTCTCGTATCGACTAAATCCAAATAAAGACGTCCTCCGCCCTACAAAACCCCAAACCCGAAGATATCCAGAGACTAATGTCGTTCTTAATTTAAAAATATCTTTGCACACCTCTTCCTAACACCTACAGTGTAACACCGAACATGTTTATAATGCCTTTGGTTTACAAACACCAGTGAAGATGAGCTGGACTAAGGAGCTAGCTTAAAACATGCTGTTCGGTGTCAGCTTTCGGGGAACGAATCGCTAACGTTAAAGTTATTTTAGGAACGTCATGTCGCCAGGAACAAAAGTATCATTATCATCCTATCATCTCCTGATTCGTTTGCTATCCATTTGTCATATATATATGATGATGATTCTTGCCGCAAATCCCATATGGTCTAGCGGTTAGGATTCCTGGTTTTCACCCAGGCGGCCCGGGTTCGACTCCCGGTATGGGAACGCCCTTTTTCCTCGAGTTTATTCTTTTTTTTTTTTCTTTTTTTTTACATATCGTCACGTAAGCAGACGCAGGGTGCTTTATATAAAAACTTCACCCTACAAAACGACAGGACCACACACGCAGACAGCTTTCCTTTAATAAGTGCTTAATTTTAAATTTCCTCACCAATAAATGACACAACCAAAGGGTTGCCAATGCTAATGCTGTATCTTATTTAAAGCTTATAAGCTGGCTGTGGAAAACATGCACCCAATAAACAGTTCTGAAACAAAGCTGCAGCCAACAAATGCAAATTATTTGTGGTTGGTAGTAAATTTACCCGCTACCAACCAGCATTTCCTAAGATTCTCTTGCGAATATGGTATATCATTAAATTGTTTATTGTTAAAAACAACAAGTGTGCAGTATGGTACTCAACCAATAACTGGGTACTTGAATGACCTGAAACCAGCCCATTTTACATTTAATACTAAAGTTTTAAGTAACTAAAGTTGAAAAATCTGAACATAAATATTTTATTTCTCAAACAGGAAGCTAGTTGGAGGTTATGGTTATGTCCTGCCCCTTCCTTTTCATAATAACTGACATTTTGACAAGTACAAGAATCATATAAAGAATTTATTATTTACACTAAAAGACAGTTATAACTAAGTAATACATCAACACAAACAGAAACAAAATTTAATTGGCTTCAAATGGCCAGTTCCTTAGTTCAAAGTGCCAAAAATGCAAAAAAGCAACAACCCCCCCCCAAATTTCATTTGTTATTTAACATGACACACCTACAAACCTTCATTAACAGAAACATAAATACACATTGAGGAGTTCTCCCTTCTTTAATCTGAACTAAAAAAAAAAAAAGACAAGGTATAGCTGTTAAACAACTCCACATAATGGTAAACATCACAGCTTAAATGAAAAGTTCAAGTGCGCTGAGTGCTTCGGTTTCCATGTCGGTCGGGGTATGACTCGCAGCCTGAGAGAGGAACTCGTCAAGGAAGTTTTCGTCATGTTGCCCGTTCATTCCGCCATTCAGCTCTGATGGTCTCCCAGCAGCTTCGACCACACGCTCTGCTCCGTCAGGCCCATTGGCGAACATCTCGAAGAAGCCCGTGCTGTCTGGCGAAAGGTTGCTGGCTGTTGTTGCCGGCGAAAGCAAGTCCGACAGGAAGTCGTCACTGGTGGCTCCATCGTAGGTGCTTGAGGTGACAGTGCTGGGAGAGTCCAAGTCAGTGCTGTCCGGTCGGAGCTGTAGTCCCTCATGTTTATCCAACATCTTATTGATTCTAGCAAGCTGCTTCTTCTTTGATTTGAGTTGCTTAAGTTTAAGTTTGTATCTGAAGGCTTCTGTGCTGCCGAGGCCTACAGGAACCTCTGAGGAATGGCTGCCATGTCTCTTTAGAGAGGCTTTAAGGAGTGCCTTTGCTCCAGGTGTAACCAGGGACGTACTAGACATCACTGTAGGGGTGGTTAGGTGGTTAGAAGTGACTGGTTGTGACTGCACAGTAGGTGATAGGAGGGGTCTCTGGTTGTTTAAGCTCTTAGCACGAAATGCCCCGTACATGTCTGCAGCTTTCACTGGCAGATCTTCGCTGTCCTCTGTCCGGAGTTGTGGTTTTGGGTAGAGCGCCATTGGAAGATGCGGTCTCTTCACAGAGTTGGGGGTAGAGTGAAAAGGAGGAGGAGGAGGAGGGGGCTTTAATTGTGTGTCTGATGCAGGGGCAAACTTAGCAGTGGACTTCTGAACTTGGTTTAGTGGATGTTTGCTAAGCAGGAAGGACCAGCGAGAATTCTGATCTAGTAGTGATGCTGATGTGGGATCGCTCTCATTGGCAGAGAGGGGTGGGTTATCAGTAGAAGACATGAGGGAACCCTGTTGTGTAATTTCAGTAGATGGACTCTTATCCTCAGTATCAGGGACCACAGGCTGTACACGGTTTACTCCACAGGGCTCTGAAGATGTCGATGATGAAGTATGCAAAGCTACTTTTGATGAAGCTACCTTTTTACCTTTTGCTCTGCTGACGGTTTTCCCCCTGCTGATTCCTTTCCCTCGTCCTCTCCTGGCACCGGGCACAAATGTCGGATCGCTGGACGAGCCGTCCCCCGAGTCGGGATCACTTGAGGTGGAGGGAAGGTCAACACTGGGACAGTGATGCAGTTTATTACCTTTAGCAGCAGAAGAGCTGTCAAGAATGTCATTCTTACCAGCGGTGGTCAGATCTAGAGTTTTGTGGTTGTTGTTTAAAGACTGCATTTCTACATCGGGTTTTACTTCAACCAGTGTGAGCGTAATGATTTCACTGTGGGTTAGGCCCTCAAAGGTGTCAAGCAAAGTGGTGGCACCTATGGAAGTATCAAAGCCTGCCATGACTGTTGTGTCCATGATGCTGCTGGTGTCTTCAGTGAGAGCGCAGATGATGTCGGTGTCGTTATGAGGAATAAGAAGAGACTGATCTGGACTGTGAACCAACACCCCATCCGCTACCGAACCTTCATTTAAACTGTTGTTTCTCTCATTGTCAGAGAGTGCAGATGTGGAGGAGGAAGAACAGATGTGAAGCTCTTTGTCGTCTTCCACCTCCCAGAAGACGATATGCATCTCATTAGCAGGGACCTGAAGCTTTTGGTGGGTCTTACAGTCAGGGTATTTTAAATCATCATATTCCAGCCACGAGCCTGCAAATTTAAAAAAAAAAAAAAAAAGCACAACAAATGGTTACAGCAAAATGCTGCAGGTTCAACTTGGTTGTCTATGTCAAGGGTTTGTTTTACGTGACCAATGAATAAGAAAAACTGAAATAACATAAAACAAAATAAATAATGCAGAATTACGGTCTCTTCCAAGAGCAACTCTGCACAACACAGTCTGCCATATGTCTAATCTATTCAAAGCATACTGCAGACTAGTTAATTATCTAACTTGTGAAAGAAATAGCTACACATCACAATAACGTTACATTTGCAAAATCGGTAAGCTAGATACAAAATAAAATAAAATAATTAAATAAATCTAATTATTAAATGACAGTGAAATAGACAGCAAATAGGGTTCTTCTCTTGCATGAACTGTCCAGCAGAATGTGCTGTTGGCAAACTACGGCAGAGTCAAATCAGACTCAACCATTAAGTGTTTCAACCACAAAGAAAAGCACTTAAATGTAACTTCCAGTTTAATAAAAACCAAAAAACCTAATTTGACCTCATTTATTCGTGTAAAAATACTGCACTAACTTCAAAATATCTACTTAATCAAATTCAACTTGTATAAGGAAAAATGCATTACAAAGATGACACATCAAATGTTTAAAGTGAGAATTGCTTTAGTTTTGAAATGCTTATTTATGATTTTATAAAATAAAAATAAAAATGTATGCATCAAAGGGCTGGGACAGGGGCAACAAAAGGCTGAAAAGGTTGCGTAACAATAAAGAAACCATTTATCCCACAGAAACTGTTTCAGACACAAAGAGAGATGATGTTGAGCACTCTTAGAAGACTACAAGTCTGTACACAGCATCTACTGAACATCTAAAATCAAGCGAGAATGGAAAAACAACTTTATTTTTGATCTACAGCAACGTGCTGTCGTTAAAAGGAGAGCTGATGCAACAAGTGGTAAACATGCCCCGTCCTACCGCTTTTGAAATGCTTCTGATTCATTTGAAATTGGCATATTTTTAAATAAATAAATATTTCTCAGTTTCAACATTCGATACTCTCTCATTTGCACAACATTAAATAATTCTGTCGTCTGTTCACATTTCACACACAAATACGTACCATCAGCGCTGCAAGTCCAGGTGACAAAGTGCTTCAGGTGACTCTTGTACTGTATGACAGTGGTGACGGAGTAGTTTCTGCCCTTGAAGTTGAAGGTGTACGTACTGACATCGTTGTTAGGGAGCCCCTCCACAAAGTGCAGTGCAAACACTGGAGGCAGACTATAAAACACAAAGCAAGGCAAAAAAAGCAAAAAGTGGTGATAGGTATAAAAAAGTGAAAATCCAGACAGACTTTAACAATGCATTTGTTTTGTGTTTTTAAAAGAATCTTATTTATTTTAACCACTCCGTGCATTAGTTTTGCAAAGAAAAACATACCCTGCAATAACTCAAGTCTGAGCTGCACTCTCTTTATTACTCTCACAGTATATTCATAAGGACACCACTGCTACAGATGACCCACTTCAATTTTTTTTTGTCAAATTGTATTTCCATTTATATTTAAGCAGAAAAAAAAAATCTGCATAACATATACACTCACTGGACAATTAACTGCTCGTTAAAGGACATATCCAATCAGCCAATCACATGGCAAAAAGTCACTGCATTTAAGACCATGATATCAGGTGGTGCAGATGCTGGTACGAACTGAGCATCTGCTGAAGTTCAAAGTAAGCATCAGAATGAGGAAGAAAGCAGACTTAAGTGACATTCAACTGGCATGACTGTCAGCGTCAGACAGGTTGGTCTGTTTTTCAAAACCTGCTCATTTACTCTCTATGTTTCAGAGAGAATGGTCTGAAAGAGAGAAAATATCCAGCGAGCAGCAGTTTTCTGGGTTAAAATGTCTTTTTGATGGCAGGGGTCACAGAGGAATAGCCAGACTGCTTTAAGCTTATAGGAGGGCAACTGTAGCTCAAATAACTACTTGCTAGAAACAAGGTATGAAGAAAAACAACTCTGAATGAAGAGCAGTTTGAACCTTGATGCCTAAGACTTCACTGGCTCATGCTCCTGTCAGCTCAGCAAAACAAACGGGTCCTACAATTCACACGAGCTTAACAAAATTGAGTAACAGATGATTGGATAAACTGATGAGTTTTAATATCTTCAGTAAAATTCAGACTGAAGGGTCAGAATTTGGTGTAAAAAACATGGCAGCACAGATCTACAATCTGTGGTGTGTCAACAGTTCAGACTGATGATGGGGCAATGGTGTGGGGAATTTATGCTAGCGAGGTAGTTAATAAGGTGTCCAGTGAGTTTATTGGTAAAAGCGATGATTAGATTTATTGATCTTTTACTTCTATTAATGTGTTCATTAAGTAGTTATTAACCCCTTCCATAACTGAATACAGTAATTTCCACCAACCTCTGTGGTTTGAAGACAC